AGTTCGTTTGTAATCGAATATGTGTGAATACGAGCGTCAACTTAAAACGTGTGTTTTACAACTGAAAACCTGTGTTTTAAAGGGATACTTCAACGAAATTTGAAATATATCCGTCGTGTTCAAAAATAGGTTGAATATGATCCGCAATATCCGTAAATGACAATCGCACGTTTGCATTTTGAGCCTGGTGGCTGTATTTTTTGTTATAAACGGCCCACTCTAGCAAGCGCTCGGAGAAGGCCCAGCTTAGAGCACGTGACATCCGACGCAATCATGACGTAGGTCGTCTCGGGACGAGCAAAGCTACGGCGAGGCTGACGTCGAGGGGATGGCCTAGTCGTTCCAGTCACCGAAGCGGCTGCTTTTGTACGAATTTTAAGTGACGGGTTAATCTTTTGTAATATTGTAGGGGGACAATGGCTACTTCTGGAACACACAAAAGGGATTCTCGGGAAGATTGGAGTTCCTTCTTCCCCTCTTCACTCGTCGTGGCTGGAGGCGAGACACTCACCGTCACTAGCTGTCAAGGTTCCTAGACGGGCATTACAAACGAGGCGTTAGCGACATCCACCAGGTGCTCTTTGAAAATCGTTTAATTCGTTTTAAAATTCCTTTTCGTTACTTTTTTAACAAGATATTATTGTGTTCGATGTGATACTGCTCCTCTGAACACATATAGACCATAAAATAAGCGCCGAAATTTCGTTGTAGTATTCCTTTAAGTTGTAAAAACATCGTTCCGGCTCTTCGGCTGGAGATAATTGCAGATTTTTACATGGGGTATATCCTCAACAAAATGCCGGAACGTACATTCTGTGTTATTCATATTAAAAGCGTAATAATTGTACTATGGTCTTCCTTTCATTCGAGAACGGTGCAATATTACGCCAAAAATTGGGGCGCCTCGGAAATCACGTGCGCGTTCAGAAGGGTGAATGCAAAAGAAGACCATTAGTAAAACCGACGCCGCATTGTTGCGTAGCGGTGCTTACATTGGTTCGCGCAGTTTCTTTATTCTAGAGAATGGCAACGAGCTAAACAGATGTTTGTTTTTATCAACGTAGGCGTATAAGACGAGGGTTGCAAACATACGCAGGCTACAGAATGGGAAGGAAACCCCCTTCGGGTATGGTTCTTAAGGCCCATACGCACATTCGCGTTTGAGCGCGGTGCGTTCCGTAGCGGCGAGCGGACGCGTTGCGTTGCGAAGACCGCTTGCGCCAAACTTGTACGCACAGTTGCGTTGACACGCAGTCAACCGCGGTCAAGAGCCAATAAGAACGCGCTATCGTCGCTAGTGGCTCACCAATAGTAAGCGAAATCGAAGGCGACATGGCGGCGCACGGCGACAGCGTCGAAGCGTTCGATCTTGGGAGTTTTCGTAGACCGCGCTGCCCCCTCCGCTAAGCGTTCCGCAACGAAGAAGTTACTACTGCGCCTGCGCGCCGATAGCCTTGACTGTGGAGTTCTCGCTATCGTAGCGGGTTGCGGAGGGCCTTGCGGGACGGCGAAAACGATCTACGGAAACTCCCTATTAGGGAGTTTTCGTAGTTTTGTCAAGCTTGAACCATCGCAGCCTTGGAAAATACAGTGTCCACCGCTCCCCAAAACGAAAAAGCAAGCACTGCGACCGGCGAACCGGATACGTCTCGCCGAGTGGGCCGGGTGGGGTGAGCGAACACGTCACCCCCTCTCCTCTTTCGGCTCCTGATTGGTCGAACGCGCCCGAACGCACCGCAACGCTTCGGAAAGTTGAACGAGTCTCTACTCGCTTGCGTCGCGCTACCGAGCGTTGCGGGAAGGCGCGCGTCGGTCCGCCAGCCACCGCGCCTGGCCGCAAGGACTCCGCACATTCGCGTTCAAACGCGAATGTGCGTATGGCGCTTTATTCCCGTCATAACTGAGGCCGCATGCAGTATCATTGGGGAATTGTAGTAGACCGTTCCCGCAGCCCGCTAAGCACCCGGATAGCGCTCCGTAATCCGCCACAAGACCTTCAACTCTGCAGAGAAGGCTGGCGGCGCGCATGCGCAGCTGCGGCGTTTTCTTCACGGATACCGTAGCGGAGGAGAAAAAATGAAAGCCGCTTACAACTCCCTGTAACGCCGAATTGGAGCGCAGCTCTTGAAGAGGAGGAGGGAAGGGCACTGGGGGGGGGGGGGTTAAACTAACCGGGGGGGGGGTCACGTGACCCCCAATGCCGATGATGTCATCACTGACGTCACCGATGACGTCATCAGTGACGATGACGATGCGGGTACCGATGACGTCATTAGTGACGTCACTGATGACTTCACCAGTAATGATGACGATGACGATGCGATTGTCGGTGACGTCATCAGTGACGTCGCTGATGACGTCATCAGTGATGATGACGATGACGATGCCGGTGACGACATCAGTGACGTCACTGATGACGTCATCAGTGATGATGACGATGACGATGCGGATGTCGGTAACGTCATCAGTGATGATGACGATGCGGATGCCGGTGACGTCATCAGTGATGATGACGATGACGATGTGGATGCCGGTGACGTCATCAGTGATGATGACGATGTGGATGCTGGTGACGTCATCAGTGATGATGACGATGACGATGTGGATGCCGGTGACGTCATCAGTGATGATGACGATGACGATGTGGATGCCGATGACGTCATCAGTGATGATGACGATGACAATATGGATGCCGGTGACGTCATCAGTGATGATGACGATGACGATGTGGATGCCGGTGGCGTCATCAGTGATGATGACGATGACGATGTGGATGCCGGTGACGTCATCAGTGATGATGACGATGACGATGTGGATGCCGGTGACGTCATCAGTGATGATGACGATGACGATGCGGATGCCGGTGACGTCATCAGTGATGATGACGATGACGATGTGGATACCGGTGACGTCATCAGTGATGATGACGATGACGATGTGGATGCCGATGACGACATCAGTGATGATGACGATGACGATGTGGATGCCGATGACGTCATCAGTGATGATGACGATGACGATGTGGATGCCGGTGACGTCATCAGTGACGATGACGTCATCGGGGGGTCACGCGACATCGGCGGGGGTCACGTGACCTCGGGGGGTCACGTGACCTCGAGGAGGGGGTCACGTGACCTCAGGGGAGTCACGTGACTTCGGGGGGTCACGTGACCCCCCACGAGGTCACGTGACCCCGGTGGGGGGCTCGCGCGGTGCATTATGGGACATTTCCCATGATGCACCGCGCGGTTACGCCGACGGCGACGCCGCTCAAGCCGGAAACGGGCCCCTAAGAGCTGCGCTCTAAAACGGTCTACTACAATTCCCTATTGTACTCCATTTCACCTTACGTCCGAGCGCAGCGAATGCTACGAGCCATCGGAGCCAATCCAAGGCCATGCGAGTATCACGTGACCTTGGAGAGGGGGCACAACGACGCGCGGAGAGCGTATCACGGGCTCCGTCCACAGAGCGGGATTGCTTAGGATAGGGAGCCTTCTTGTGCGCTTTGCTAGGGTGATGTCACCCTTTGTAATACCACTCGCCGACAAACCAGCAGCCATTTTGGTCCTCGGCGATAATCCGTGGGCTTATAACCTTCCCGGAAACAGGCTACTTATTTCACAAGTTCGGAGCAGCGTTGTGGAACCCACGGAGGGAGGATTAGCATTTTCCCCCTCGGATGGGAGGACCGATGGACACAAAGGCCACTTTCCGGAGCACGGGGAAACAATGGGGAACAAAATGTCGTTGGACGAGGGTGTGGGAAAGGGAAACAGGCAGTTGGCATCACCCTATGCGAAGCGCACATGAAGGCAGCCTAGCCTAGGATAGCTCGTAGCGTCCGCTAGATAAGGAGCTTCGCGTGGTCAACGAAGCCCAACGCGGCAGGTACGGGATTGCTATTCCCTGCCAGGACGCGAAACATTCCAGTCTCTTTGCATTGCATTAGGCAACCTAATGACTGCACCTCTTATGCTACAATTGTTTCAATGCACAAAGTCGCTCGTAAATACGCGTATGGTTTTGTGGAAATGATTTGGAGGGATTGTATTTATGCTCCCATGTATGCCTTCAGAGCTAGCGAACGTAGGAACGCGAGCGCGTGGTTTTTAAAAGTGCCTTCCCAGCGCGAGTGCTTGCGTGCAAGCTGACAACTTGTGAGGTGGAGTATAGGGGGTATTCACTGGACGGCCACATTCGCATGCTCAGTTTACATTATGAGGCTGCAAAGACCGACAATCATTATGGTGCGGAATGCACGTTGCAAAGGAACTGTTGAAGTGCACCGTTAGCACGTGCTCAGCAGTAGCGCACACAGTCATGACCCCCAGCAAATATTTCCTATAATCTCGGTCCAGGTCATGGACACATTGGCTGCGAGCAAAAGCTGTTACACCTTGTATTTCTTAAACTGTTAGCGAATGCAGATCAATGAAGGCTCTCCTATCGTGCGTAAATATAATTTTTCTAGAATTAGCTACACTTTCATCTTAGGATTCTGCAAGGCCACCTTACACATGGTGAAACGAATGCTCCAGTAGAGATCTTTGTCTCCAAATCGCTGTATTTTTTATCAGTCATATCGAACCTGTGGTCAGGTCCAATCGATTAGTTTACAAGTCACCTGAAATAGGCACGTAGAGAATTATATATTCATTGGGAACATTTTTATCGTTCGTGGTCTTTATTATACATAAATAAATATTACTACCCCGTCCCCCCCCCCCCTTTTTTTTTTCGAAAATACTGCTTCCACTTGTCGAAGACTTAATTTGTCGATTCTTTAGTAGCAAACAAAGGGCACCATTGCTAAGGACAGAGAAGACTTTGTACGGAATTTGGGGTCAAAAGATAAGCCACAAGGAGAACAAAAATGGCGTTTCGGAAGCTCAGTTTTCGGCCATATGCCCACGCGCAGTTCATACCGAAAAACTCTCCAACCAGCCATTTGGGAAATAGTGGGCTGCCGCGCATGTCTTCTACCCTTTGGGTTTCAGCTCCACATGCTCGTGCTGGCTGCTGAAGATGCTCAGGGTTGCCTGACGGGCTGCGGCATGTTCGTGATCAACCTTCCTCTCATCGTCGTTGTAAGTCCTCCAGGGGAGGTGTCTTCTCGGGACAACTAAATTAAAGCGCTGGACATTCTGACTTGCCCAAGTGCTGCCATTTTGTGATCGTGCTGGGGGTGCTCCCGCTGGATATTGCGGATGCGTCGCCATTTTTGGTTCACGCGTCTTGTGCGAGCACGCTCGAATGCGCCAAGAAATTGATGGAAAGGAGACGAGAGCGCGCGGGGAAATCAGAGCGCCGAGCTACAGTGAACTGTAACTGCAGCCGAGCTCTGGTTTGAATGGTTGCCAGTGCCACAAGCATGAGAGCACGAGGTTGCTGCTTTGAAGCGTTCTACTGCAGACCGCGAGGCTAGCATGCGCGCTTGTAGCTTTGGCTGTCTTGCACCTGATGTCACTTCCGGTTAGATTCGAAATCGAAACCAACATTCTCGTCTGCTATCAGTACCTTGGCGCCATGTTGGAGGCATTCGGCGTCTTATTAAGGCAGCAGTGGTGCCGTAGAGTAAAAGAGCCGTCTTTGTATAATCACATTCTAGAATATTGTCCTAGTCAATCGCAAAGAGGTTCCTCACCTGACACAAAGTGGAGTCCAAAAACCCTTAGTTGGGGTACGGAGCTTTTCTTTCGAGATTATATAGTTAATAGAATAATCTAGAGCGAAAGGTTTCATGCATTTGGCCGCTTCGGAATGGACCTTTTCCGAGAAGCGTTCTGCGCACGCGCGAGCGCCCGATACCAAGCGGCGGAAGTCGGAACGAAAAATCGAGGAAAATCGGAAGGAGCCTGTATATCAGCGAGTAGTACACGTAACTGCAGCATATATATAATTGTGTTACTCGAAAAGAGAACGTCGACGGAAAAGAAAACACGACGTTTGGGTGGACGCCACGGATGCCCCTCTTTGAAGTCGCATTGGGCAGGCGCCGCTGCTCAGAGCGCGAAGAAACTGGTAGCGTAGCTCCCATTATCGATTGGCAGCACAGGTAGGTCACTTCCTCGATTTTTAGTTCGTGCAGCAACCGCCTGGTGCCATCGGTATGTGGAAAAGGTCCATTGCGGGACATAGAAGCGGACATCGGCGGTCCGAGTTGGCGGTCCCGATGAGCCCATATCACCGCCGTCGCGTTTGCATGCATAAAGAAACAGCAAAACATTAAATGTAAGGTCTTTACCTTGTCATTGTCTCTCTTACTTTGCAGAAAAGGACCAGAGTCGCGCACTGACAAAACTAAATAAAATTGACAAGCGCTTGATAAACTTCAATTTGTCTCGGCAAAACAAACACGCCTAACCCTTCGTCTGTTTTCTTTCTCTGCGCTCTTTTGTCGCTTCCTACGCTTTCTCTCAGGACTGGAGATGTTAGCGCCCAGGATTTGCCGTGTTCTCCTCCCGTCTTTACCCGCCTGGTCGAGGTTGTGCCGGCGAACCGATCGATCGAGCGTCACCTTGTCCATAATTCCTAATGATTTCCGGAATTCTAGAAAAAAAAAAAGAAAACAATATCGCTAGCCGTAGCTCCGTTGTCGCCGACCTTTACGGCTGGAACAACTAATTACGGTGCAACTGACCATTTTAGACCTCGAGTGAGCGGACAAACTACAGTGCGAACACGGCCCCAAAGAACACAAAACATAGCATAACAGTGACAAATGCCTCCAACATGGATTCCGGCGGGTTGCGGTGAGATTACTAGCGTTACATCATGGTCTCGTGCAAGAACCCTAGAGACATAAAGCTACCCACCTTTGTCTCCACTGCACTCCTCGAACGCGGTCGGATGCGAGAGCCAAACGCCGGATGCCGGCATTCGGCGTTCTATACGTGTTCGATATGAGCGCGATGGAGACAAAGGCTGCTAGCATTAGGTCTACCCACTAATCACTTCATCCAGAGCTCGGCGTTCTGACGTCTCCGCGCTCTCGTCTCTTCCTCTTCCTCAGTTTCTCGGCGCATTGGCGCCGCGCCGCCACATTTGATTTGCGGTGACGCTCCGCCATATTTGGCTCAAGTCCATCGCTTCATCTTGAATCATTCAGCGCTCTACCCGAAATCAATTAAATATAATAGACCTGTAGCTCTCAAGTTGTGAACAGCGCCCTTGGCGAGAAACATAGGATGTTTTTAGGTCGCGCTTACACTGTGCGTAGCGTCGCGTCCTTTCAAACGCTGTTAGTGCGCATGAACCATGAGCAGACGCCGAGGAAACTGACAGACGCTGGTCTACGCCCCTGGACGGTACATGATGGGGCGCTAGGGACGCCGTTTCACGTAAGCATTAAATGGCCGCTTCTCTTGGATGCTAGCAAAGGCACCTCGTTTGTGGTCGCGTCTCGTAACGCTACAGCGCCCCCTGGCCTAGGGGAACAGGCCTGTTTCCGGTTTCTGCGAAGTGGTGTGCCATCAGGGCTTTCTTGATGTACTGTAGCTAGATTTAGAGTAAATATGACCATAGAGTTATTACAATGTACGCTAGAGGTTCAACTGGCGCTAGTGTCTATGCGACTTCCGGGAGGCAAATTGAAGCAGACAGCAACCAGTCTACTTTTGCGGTGCTCCTGTGCATTCCTATGGGAAAACGCGCGTGAAATTTGTCTCTTCACCGGAAAATAACATGAATAACTTTTATTATTTCGGTTGTACCGGATAGTATGTACATTTATTAATATTGTAAAAGTGTAATTGCTTTAGTTACAGCATTTTTCTTTTCCACTAAGCGATGTTAACCTCCGCTATATTTCAGGCCCAAACCTATGTTCCATGGCAGGTATGTAAAAACGAGCGACGATTCTAAGCAAACTAACGATCGAAAGGAATGTAAAGTGTGTTCAAAGTTACCTAGCATTGCGATGGCGCTTATATATTGCTAACATGCTCGTCCTGTCACTCTATGAAAATGACTCCGTTGTGCAACTTTACGATCGGTTAAAAAACATTCGAATGTAAGAAATAAAGTACGTGGACTACGCAAGGTGTGCCTTTTTATTATTTCCTATGTCGGGCAGTTTTAATCGGGCCCCTATTCTCTGACTTCTTGCTATTTGCAAAGATTTGGAGCGTGCGGTTGATGATTTGAACCCAGAACATGCATCTTTGCGCACAATCACGAGCAGAAAGAATCAGTACTTATTTATTGCAAATCGGACTATATATATTACGTGGCTTTCAACTTGTTTTGATAACCTGCGTGCACAAGGAGTTACTTATCCAGTGTTACTGCGTAGTTCTTGCCGTCCCTCTTGGTTTTCCACATGTCCTTCGTTCGTTTGACATGTATATCCCGCATGGTGGAAAGCGCCGATGCCGTGTTCGCGCTAACGGTGTCCGACAGTGCACATAAATACATGTACGAAGCGGTTTTAGCACCGTTTTTCATGCCACGAATTAAAAAAAAAACAAAAAAAAAACGCCGTTACTGACCAGTTATTTTGTCTGCGTGATTGAGAAATGTTCCAATGTGCCTAGTACGTACGAAATATTCGTGATATTTGCTCTTATAATCGAGCGCAGCGAGAAAATTCACTCGCTTTTCCCCATAGAAATGCATTACCGGAAGTCAATTTCCGACTGGTTGCTGTCTGCTTCAATTTGCAGCAGCACACTAGCGCCACTTGAACCTCTAGCGTACATTATAATAACTCTATGAATATGACAGTTGCGACCAGGCTCTGTGATTCCACAATAAGGCAAGCGAAAACTCAACCACTTTTTTTTTTTTTTTCGAGGGAGAAATCGAAGCGTCTTACAGAGTTTTAATCCTTCCCCATTCAAAAGTGCCTGGTTACGCCACTCTTTGGAGGGAAAGAGAGGGCTACGAGGCATCGCAAGTTGAATCGCGTTGCTTGCGTTTCGTCAATGTCTGTAGTCCTGATGTCATTTAAAATGTTTCAAAGCTGGTTGCAGTTCATAGACATAAACTCATCCATGCATGTATTACAACTGTAGGGCGCTTTAAAATTGCATGCGCGTGTGCGCAAAAATAATCTGACGAGCAACTCAGATTCAGTTGTTTTTAGGCGGAGCTTCTCCAGGGATTATATTCGTGATACTTTGAAAGTAGTGCATGTTCTGTGGAGCCTCCTTTTCCACCTACCTGCATCATTTAAACTTAAAAAAAAGTCAGTAATTGAAAGTGTAAACCACCCATCTGATAAGCTTGTTAAGTTGCAAACGCAGCCATAGAGGGCTTTCCTGGGTTTTGTGCCTTTCGCTTCTTTTAAATAATACTTTCGTTTCTATAGTTATGTTGTATATCGCTAAAACAAAACGCCACAGACCTCACTCAAGGTAGATTGAGTAATCATATCTTCACAACTCGTAAAATGCTGAGCATGCGCCCATGCTAATAAGCGTCCAACCACTACTTCTGAAATGGTTGAAAAATACGCAAGGATGTAAGCACTCCACACCCGACTTCTGAGCATGCTTTTCCGTATCAGCCACTTCTCCGAGCACGCCGGTGTGGAGCGGTGAAGCCCACCTTATCACGGGCTCCCTTCGCATTTTTGCACCGTAACCTAACAAGCGCCCATAAGCTAGTTTCCCCCCCCCCCCCCCCCCCCCCCCCCAAGGTCGTCTCCAAATTTCGGGTGGACTGTTATTTGGCATTTTACAGTGAAGGCCGGTTTATACATTATTGCTGCGCTAAATCGGCACTAGGAACAGCGCCGATTTGAGCGCACATTTATGCAGTGCTTTATCACGCATAGAGGGAGAAGTAAGCGCTATATCAGCGAGGTCAGCGCTAGCTGTTTCCAGCGCTGCGCTGAGGTAACCCCGTGCGGTGTATGTGTGAACAGGCTTTAAGCCTGCCGGTCAAGGATCTAATGGCCCCAGATACTGGGAAATTAGAACTGCGAAGGACCCTAAAACTCCGCACACTCTTAGAGGGTACCTGTTAAGATGGGCAGGGGATTGTTCAAATCTTGCCGATCTTCAGCCGCACGTCATTGTATAACGCGAATGACCGACGTGCGCTGAGGATAAAAGAAATCTCTTACACAAGTTGCTATAGTAAAAATTAAATACACTACATTAACTTTTTTCTCCCTCTTTTCAGGTGGTTGGTGCAGTGATAACCTACACCATCGTCCTGGTACAGACAAGTGATAGTGCTATGAATATAAAATGCCTGCACGGCGGAATTACTCCCTAACGTCAACAGAAAAATATCACGCGTTTCAGAAAACAATGCAGAGGGAGCAGAGTTCCGTTATTTTGTCATTTCTAACCTGGAAATGATACCATAGAAGCAGGGTGAAACAAAAAGTATTCTTGTTAAAATAAAAAGTATATCTCTTTTGAATACATGTTATTAACTTCACAATATTTTTTTTTGTTTGAATAAACATATTCAATGAAGGCACCAGACATTTCATCAAACATTATTTAATTAAATAACATTTCATCAAATACGTGAACATTTCCTCAAAACATTTTATTGAATCGCTTCGCGCCATTTAATGAAATTTTGGGCATACAACAAATTTAGTAGCACTACAATGCTTTCTAAAACCTTTGCAAAATTTAAACAACTCTCGCGGTTCCTGGAATAATTTAGATTTTACTATTAGATTATCAAGAAAATAAATGCTTATTACATCTTACCTGAATGGCGACATCTGGTTTCTGACAATTCATGGAGCAAGATATGAGTTTTAATTGTGTTACATAAAAAAAAAAAAACAAAAAAAAAAAAAAACAGGGCATGTGAATTACTGAAAAGCTACGCATGAGAAGCATTCCATTGTTTGGAGAGCGAAATTCAGATTAAGAATAAAAAAGTGATCATTGAAACTATTTAAAAAAAATTTGAGATCTTTGTGGCATTATGCTCGATTGGAATTAAAGTGCCATGTCTATTCATATTTATTCTAACTTTATTCAGAGAAAATCTGCAGAACAGCAGACCTGCCAACAGACCAATCTAATGAGTATCAGTTTGCAATGGTGTAAGCACGCAAATTTACAATACCCCGTTATTATGCTATAGGTAATTTATCTGTGTGAAAATAAGAAAAATAATGGGAGCAATGAACATTTGCATACAGTGAATGTTACAAGATATCCATTATTATGTGCTTCTTTTCACTTCAAAACCTCAAATATCTTTTCACCTATAAATGCGGAAGTAGATACGACAAACATCGTGTCACCGATTAAGTGAAAGCAAAATGAAAGCCATTGCTGTTCTGAGAAAAAAAAAAAAAAAAGAACAGATGATTATAGAGATGACTAGAGCCTACCGCTGTTCCATTATGAGATGTTTGATAACTCTCTTTCAACGAGATGATGCTGAATCCAAAAGTGGTCGACAAAACCATGTTCTATAAAGCAGCTTTGATGAAACGGTAGTCATTGTACCTACGCTATTCTCCAGACGCAACGCAAGAAATTATTGTTTGCAAAGATCTCCCTGCAGTAGTACTGTCGAGACCGGTTATAACGAAGTCGGTTATAACGAAATAGCGGCTACAGCAAAGCGATCACGATTTCCCATTCCCGTTTTCAATGCATTTGTTTGTTTTTAGCGAAGAAAATTGAAAAAAACTCCTGCGGATATAGCAAAAAAAAATTTGTGATAATTAAAAGAAATCGAAAAGTTTACTAAGTTTCAGATTGCCGCACTTTGTGCTGCGGCCAAGAAGCCACCCAGAACAGGCTGCAGAAGATGCTGGAAAGGCCGCCGGCGGCAGCCTTTGCAACGTCGTCTGCTCCCCGCTCCTTTTCTGGGAAGCGGCTTTACTGCATCGCACGCGGCGAAGCCGTCGTGGCATGGGAGAGCCGGAGCAGTAAGCACGCTTGCATTATTTGATTGTCGCGTGGCCAGTGTGGCGAGGAAACTGGGCGGAGAAGCAGACACGTTCGCAGAAGGTGAACGCTTTTGAGTTTTGACTCCTCGCACGCTGCAGCTCGTTTTGCAAACGCGGCCCACGAACCCAAGATTGAGCGCGAACTTGGTGCCCTGCACGCTTCTTTGCTTGCTTCGTGGTCCGTGTCGGCGTCTGGTCGGTGAGGTCGCTCTTGCGCGAAAGTCTACTTTGCTCAAGCACCGATTCGGCGAATTATCGCCACTCAATGACGGAGAGTCCCGGCACCGCCGGCACCTCGACGGGGAAGACGAAGACAATCTCCTTGAATCAAAAGCGTGCCATCCTCGACGGAGTGAGCATAAACGTAAAGAATGCCGTCTACCGCCAGCGTCCTCCGCGGGGCCGTCGCGGCTGCCAACACGGTCCGTACGTAGCAGGATCTTTTTTCGATCGGAGCTTCTCGCAGTTGGTGAGAAAAGGCTCCGATCTAGCAGAGGACGCGGGCAGGGAAGCCTCGACCACTCTCTGCAGGCTCGATAGACATGTGCCCGTAACAACCCGTTTTCTCTTTTTTTTTTTCATGTTATTTATACGAAGAAGCGTATATAGCGAAGCGATTTTCGAATCCAGTTGACTACGTTATAACCGGTCTCTAGAGTAACCCTTTACAGGGGTTTGCCCAGAAATCTAAATTGGGGGGGGCGGAATGGGGAGGGGGGAAGAGGAGGAGGAGAGAGAGAGCAGAGGAGAATCATTGAGAATTAAGGGGGTGACTTCAGAAAAACAAGGGGGGGGTGTACCCCCCCCCCCCCCCCCCCCTAGGGTGTGTGTAGGGAAATCACTGCATCTTCAGAATTCAAACTGTACAACCCCATCCAAGTCTCTGCACTAGAGGCCCCTATCGCAGCAGCAAACCACATCACATGGTCGGAGTAAAAAAAATGAGAGCCGCTCACAACTCTCTGTAACGCCGAATTAGAGCGCAGCTCTTGAGGAGGAGGAGGGAAGAGTACCGAGGGGAAGGTATACCCTTCTCTGTTTTCCTCACCTCCTCACCCTGTGTTATTCCTTCGTCCGAGCAGCGTCAACGCTGCCTCATGAGGGTCACGTGTTTTCACGGGAGTCACGTGACCCCTGTGAGGTCACGTGACGATGACGTCATCAGTGACGATGACGTTGCCGTCATCAGTGGCAATGACGATGCGGATGACGTCACTGATGACGTCATCAGTGACGTCACGCGTCCCATAATGCACCGTGCGGTTATGCCTACGGTGACGCCACTCAAGCCGAAAATGGGCGCCTAAGAGCTGCGCTCTAAATGTGGAAAGGAGGCAGCCAAAGGCAATGAGAAGCGAGCCATGAATCATACTACAAAAGAGGCAGAATCATTTATTTCACAGAAGAAAAAAAAATCACTTTGACGAGCGTTACCGCAATTCACACAACACGGTTGGCACGGCAACACAAGGCTCTTCTGCACCCCATCTGTTTCATGCTCCCATCTTGCAACTTACTGAAATGCAAGCTCTCCATTCGAGCTTCAGCGGCTTCAACTGTTTGGATGTCGCCTCCCTACTGGCAGTAGTACACTATTAAACAAGATGTGTGAACACAGGCGCACATTAAGGAAGGAAGCAGCCGAGGTCTTCTCGAGAGATTCCTTCAAGCGCAGCAAGAGCAATGGTAGAAGCAGCGCCGGGGAAAGCCAGACTGAGAACGCCATGTCCTGGCCAAGGTTAGAAATGGAGCGTCTACAGCGCTGCCCTTGTGAATAGGCAAGCTGCCAAAAGAAAACACGCTCCTTTAGGTCTTGTGGCAGCACTGGAAGTGGCTAGGCGCACTGCTTCACTTTCCTCCCAAGCATACTTTGAGATATGTGCCAGTGGCGCGAAGCTTGGAGACCAGGGGGTTTTGAGAAAGCGTCTGGAAAAAGTTAGTTTGAGACAAAACCAAAAGAATAAGTGCTACGCTACGTTTAAGGCTCGTTCACACAGTTGCGTCGACCGCGTTGCGCTGCGTCGCGTCGTGCAGCACAGCACTCCCCCATTGTCTAATTGTAAGGGTTGCCATAGCAACAGCTCGACGCAAGCAGTCTTAGTGCAGTCAAACGCAACTGTGCGAACAATCCTTTGGTGTCCCATGTCTGCGAAGCCACACCGAGTTCCCTTCATGAGTTTTGTGCTGCCACATATGACCAGTGGGAACGCTGTTCACAGTACTATTTTAAAACATTTTGCATATCATGCAAGCATAGATATGTCACCGTGCGCTGCAATCATGCCAAGAGCAATCCACGAGATTAAATACAGTCTAGACACTCTCCACGAAAATGGCAGACTGCACAATCCCACGCCCAGTGGAAACGAAGGTATGAAACTGCATTCCTATTATTACAATAAAAAGGTGATCTGGACATGGCTAAACATCGGCATAACAAAGCATATGCGGGTTTGCTCTTCATTTTCGTACAGGAGGCTTCACTCGCTACGGCTGCTGATGCGAAGATGAAGTTACTAAAATGGTGAAATCAATTAAGTGGAGCTGTAAAGGTGCCTTGGTGAACTAAAAAGTTGCTTATTTGCCTACTTTCCACAACACACTTGTCCTGTCGTCACACTAAGTCCGTACGATATAAATTAATCGAAGTTCCGCGCTTGGAGATCGAGTTTCCGACGCTCGGTTCCCATCGGAGGCCGTTGAGCTACTCTACATCCACGAGGCCCAGTTGGGACTGGACGCCGCCTTTGGTATCTAACGAGGGCAGTTGCGTCTTCGAGGGATCTAGGACAGACACAAGACTATCACAATGACGGCGACTGCACTCGAAGACGGCTACGGTGGCCCTCGCCTGTGCGTCCTCGCACGGAGAACACTCTCCACGTTTCTCGGGGAAAGAGAGACGGCCAACGTCCTCACAGTGTGTCCATCTGGTCGCTGGGCAGAAGGTCCCAGTCGGCGGGGCCCCGGTGGGTCCACGCCCCATACAGGTGACTAGACGGGTTGGCAGCCCTGCCCTCGGCGGCGGGGCCTCCCACTTCCGAGTCCGACAGGTGCGGCTGCCGCGGCGGGGGCAACTCGCCTAGCGAGCCCCCCCTGGGCCCTGTGGGCAGCCAGTGGCGCAGCGGGGGCCGCTGAAACGCCCAGCGCCGGTGCTGCAGGCGTTGCAGGGGCTTGCTCTGGCTCCACAGGGTCAAGGGTAGCACCTCAGGCGCATGGCCCTCAGCTGGCCGCGGCGCGCGCACCAGTCGGTCACTGCCAAAGAGTTCTTCTCGCGCGGGCGCCACGCGGGGTGTGACGCAGGGCGGGGGTGGCTCCCGGGGGCCCTGCGAGGGCCCCGCGGGGCAGTTTCCGGCCACGAGGCCGTCCGAGGCCCGCCGGCCTTCCCGAAAGTCGCTGGTCGACCGGTTCCCCTCGCGTGCCCCCAGCGCGCTCCCCGTTGCGCCCTCAGCACTGTCCACGAGGTCCCGCGACGTCAGCAGGGCCGGCTCGAACTGACAGTCGAGGCTGTCCAGACTCGAGGGGCCCGGGGCGTCTGAGAGGCTCAGCAGCTGTGTCAGGTTGCAGAGCGGGGGGCTGTCCCGGTGGCCGCCCTGCGCCGACGCCAGTGGGGAGTCTGGCCGGGAGCACTCCCCAATGTCCTCCTCGACGCCCTCATCGATGGACACCGTGGTGCGAGCCGGTGGCGCCCCGCACGGCCCGCCCAATGGCCAGCCCTTGAGGGCCACCGCCGGCACACGGCACGTGGCCAGGTTGCCGTCCGTCGTGTGGCTGAACGCGTGTTTGCGCATGCTGTCCATGCTCGGGTGCACCTGGGCGGAAGGGCGGCGGGACAGCACATACTCAGATGATGAAACACGACGAGTGTATTTTTGTTTTTCGTCTAAATGCTGTTGGGCAGCTTCATCTGGATTCAGGCGGTGAGGTACGTCTAACAAGCTCCACCCATAATTTTTGGTCAAATGATGTTTCAGAGAATGGTTGTCCTTTTTAGTGGAGTTGTCAGGTATAAAGGCTATCAAATTTCAAGCTGACCAAGACCTCAAGAGCTGGCAGCAATAGGCACAGCAATACAGTCTAAGCTCATTATAACAGACCTGGTTACAACAGACATTTGGATATAACATACTGATTTGTGAGGTTCGGTTGGTTTTCCTCTATGCACCATTGACTCAATTTCATATCTGCATACAACGCACTCCTTCTACAACAGACCGAAATCTTGGTCAAAATCAAGGTCTGTTATAACGAGCTTAGACTGTAATTCTTTGTGAGTTTGATCTCTTTTAGAAAGTTTTCCAGGTGGAAAACAAGTTAAGCAAAAGGTAAATTAGAATGTGTAAAAAAAAAAAGCTGACTATTAAGCCTTACTGTTAGGAAATAAGAGCTGAACTTCACTGGGCTAGGATCGAACATAGACATTACTCAACATAAAAAACTATTTCCTAAGAACGTAAGGCCATTTTTTTGGCCATAACATGAAATTCAAATACAACATAAAACAATCAATTATTATTACTTATTTCTTGCTGGAAACTGCTTCTATAGCAAGGGTTCTAACACTTTTTAGAGCTAAAGAAACCCTGTCCACCTTGGAAGTTCCCTTTTGACACTATTGAAACACAGCCATTTGCACATTAAAAACAACAGATGTAATTGCCACTAAACATACTAAGAAAGTTTCAGCAGTGCAACACCATTCAGTTCTGCTGAAATTGTCTTTAGACACTCCAGGGTAGGTGGAGTCAAGCAAATTTTGTCACTCAAGGGACAGCTGGCAAACCCTCGGGCTCCTACAAGCCCAGTTTGAGAACCTGTGGTTGAGTTGCACACAACATTGAAAGATGATGCATGAAGCACGAAGAACAACAGAAAAGTGCTCGTGAATGTTTTAAAATGATTGTTGCCTGTTAGGGTTACATGTTCAGCAAGCACAGCAGAAGGTACACCACAAGACACCACAGTCCAGGGCAGCTTGACGAAAGCCATCTATACATAGACTCATTCAGAAAAGCTAAATGCATAGAATGAATTTTCAAACACTAGTTCCGAATGATCCTGTTTTCAATACAGTCAACTCTCAATAATTTGAAGCTCCCAGAGACAGCAAAATGCTTCAAATGAAGTGAACTTCAAAGAATAACAACACACACTCAAATCACAAGCTTTTCTCTATTCAGTACTTGCTCAAAGTTGTTGATTTGTGTCTGCCTTTACTGATGAACACAGATCACAGTAACCAGACCAGTAATGATGCTCAATGCAGTTTCTATGTCAGGTAGACTCGGCATAGAAAGCGATGGTTCCTATGCCCAAGCACTTACACAATTTCATTGTCCAAAAGTGGACCACAGATATGCCATGTTACTGGAGAAGGAGAATAAGAGGGACAAAGGACAAACACAAATTGCCTTTTGTCCCCCTAGTTCCCTTTCTCCAGATATTAGTTTCGTCATTCTGGTCCAGCTCGCTTGCAGCATTGCATTTAGTTGCATTATTATCACGCCATGTTAGTTGACATCAATATCTTTGTTGAACGAAACATTTCAGAGGGCTGGGTAATTCCTCAAGTTATGCTTGAGGACAGGTGTTCAAAAAATAAATAAACAAGGAAAAACATGTGCGGACTTTTCTCACTAATAAACACCGGAAAACACATACCCTTGTTCTACACGACATGGTCTAAACAGCGTAAAAAAAACATACACGGAGAGAAAAGAAGCAAGCAACATAGAACAAGTGAGGACTCGCAACTAAAGGTTTATTTCATGAAACAGAAAAAAATAGATGCGAGACATAGCAGTGGTTCTCAGCCACTGATGGTTCGCGGAACCCTTGGGGATTGGCGGAGAGGATGGAAGACCCCGTTTGTGGTGAGGGGAAGGGAAAGGTATAGGTTAATTACGATAATGATTTAATAAATGGATATAACTAAGGCCTAGTTTGAAGTAGACTTCTGTCATTGACATACATACGAGAAAACTCGTCCGAAAATCGGAATGTTTCTTCTCAATCTGAAAAAGGACAACTTTTGTTGCCGAATACTTGAAAGAATAAAACATCAAGGGTGGGGACGGAAACAGGACTTCTTTGAAAGAAGTCCTGTTTCTGTCCCCATCCTTAATGTTTTATTTTTTCAAGTGTTTGTATCTATTCACCAACACGCTTGTTTTTAATTATTTTTATTGCCGTGCTTAACCGATGAGGCAGGGCTAGAGTGCCTTTGCGAACCCTTGTTTGAGAACCACAAAGCTATAGAAATGAAACGTAACATGTGCCACTCCACTACCCAATCGCATCAGTGTATGTACCCCCTCGTGGAACGTAAAAATTCTAAAGTTCTTTCTTCGATAAGGTCACTGACGTCTTGCTTAGGCACAGCCCTCCTGGACTTCAGTTGTGAGTCTGCGCTTGACCTGCGTTGCCCATTTCTTCCCCTTTGTCTGAGTTTCTAGCGCTGTTGAAACCGTACCATGCAACACCCGTCCAATGTTTACCTGTGCAGCAAGGGCCGCCTGCAGGTGCAGTGCCGTGTGAGGCTCCTGCCGCCGCAGTGCCTGCTCGGCCACGCTGCTGGGCCGGCGGCTTGCCTCGGGCGCCGCCTGGGTGGAGGCCCCTCCCAAGGCTGGCTGCACGCAGCGCTGGGCACGCCACCGCTCGAGCAGCAGGAAGTAGATGGCCGCATGGTGGTCGTAGCGCTCCTCCACCAGCGACTGCAATGCATGCACCAGAGGCATTCCCACATGCTGCCACCCACCTGCTTACTTATTTATTAATTTTATTTTCAAACACTGTCGGGACTATTTCAGGAGTTGAGAAAAAATTGTATAAAACATAGAACAAAAATAAAACAATATGAGAAAAGAAAAAGTGAAAGCTGTTTACAACTCCCTGTAATGCCGAATTGGAGCGCAGCTTTTGAGGAGGAGGAGCGAAGGGTACTGAGGGGAGGGTAGACCCCTCCTCCTCCTCCTTCTTTTCCTCCTCCCCTCATTCTTGAATATGCTTTGGGGTGGTCACCTGACCTCGGAAGGAGGGGGCCACGTGACCTCAGGGGTGGGGGGTGTCACGTGACTTTGAGGGGTTGGGGGAGGGGGGTCACGTGACTTGGGGAATCACGTGACCTTGGGGGGTCACGTGGCCTCTGGGGGTCACGTGGCCTCTGGGGTTCACGTGGCCTCTGAAGGTCACGTGATCTTGGGGTGACCTTGGGGGGTCACGTGACCTTGCGGTTACGCCGACGCCGCTCAAGCCGGAAACGGGCGCCTAAGAGCTGCACTCTAAGAAGAAAAGAAACAGTAATGAAACCAAAAATGTTCAATAGTTATCAATAGCAGACAAAAATTCACGAATGGTTATAAATAGAGATCACCGGGCAATAAATTTCAAACTTCTATGGTACGAGGAAAAAGACTACCGTAAAATAAAGCGGAAGTGCCCACTTCGTACAAGCACCCACTATTAACAGTTCCCAAACTTGGGAATTGAGCAAATTTTATGTCAAGCACCCATTCTCTCCAAAGTGCCGGCATCGGCCGAAAATATTCACCCGTTTGCGGTGGCCACGAGATTGCCAGCGGCAATGATAGGGATATCCGCTTTGTTGAGATCGAAAGGGGAAAACTAGCGCTTGTTTGTGATGGGAGCATTGACCTTCTATGGACCCATTTCAAATGAAGTCTGACTACAGTGCAAAAAAACCAAATCTGGCCAAGTACACTTGGCAGCAGACGCCATCTTGAAGGATGCTCCCGTGGTTTTGTTTACGTCGCCCCAGTATGAGTTACAAGGTGTGATGAAAAGGTCACGAGTGAAATACAAACGCCGTTCCTATAAAGGTACCGTGCAACAATGTTTGGAATTCGGTCAAATAATTGTGCTAGTTGTTCCCTGTCACATCTGGGTTAAAGAACTGGAAAAAAAAAATTGCCTACAGACGTTAGGTTTATAGAAAAAGAAAATTCTGAGGACACCTAAGCACTTTCTATGAATTGTGAATGCAAAAAAAGCATGAACGCCGTTCTTCCGCTCCCTTAGTTCGTCTGCGGTGTGTACTGGCGTAAACGGCATCATTTTGCTACTGCTGAGGTTGCGGCCAGCGGCTGAGCACGCGCTCTTGTGAAGCGGCCGCAGCCCATCCTTTCTCCCTCTGGCAATGCCTGCCACGAGAGCGGCAGCCGAGCGCACGCTCTCGTGAAGTGGCCGGCAATGGCTATCTTAGGAGCCGCTTTGCTTAGCCAATGGCGGAAAGGGCATTTCTTTCATGTTTTTTTGCGGTTACAGATGCCACCGGCTCCGCTCCATGGGATAGTTAATGCTTTCGCATTAAAGAATGTCAAACACCTGATGTTTTGGGCGCCTCCAAATCACTCCCAACTCGTACACCACACCGTCTTCGAGTCACAAGTGCAGTGATGCGCAATGGGGATAAAAGGATCTGGTTGGGTTCTTTTTAAGAGCCTCCAGTGTGTGCGGCCTCTGCTTGTGATTCACATGGCGAGCTTAAGGGTTGGTCTGAGCGATGTGGAGATGGGGAGGAAGGGGGGCGGGGAGGGAGCAAGGAGCTTGCCTTTTCGCAAGAAAGTTAGACTTACGCAGTACTAGCACAATGTGGTGAGGCTCAAGGCAGGAATAGTTTTTTTCACCTCGGGAAGATGGCACCACTAAAACTGAATATAGTACAACTTCGTCGATGATATGATGTTTTTGATGCATTTACTCATGTTGAAACGACAATATTTATGAAATATAGCATTAGATTGAGCACATGGCACATCTTGTCAACTCATTTTTGTTACACCCATTGTGCATCATGCCATAGTTCCCCAAGGCCGCCACCCCGTGGCTGCAAATCACGAAATATTCCCGTTCCTTTACTTGCTACTAGGCAACGAAATCGCGGAATTGCTTTCTCCGTTCCTTTTGGTAAAATAAACAATGTAAAAATTTAAAACTGGAGTTAAAATTGTTGCATCGCCCCTTTAACACCCCCCCCACACCAAGAAATTCTTTCTTTTTCTGCTCGGAGTAAGAATAAGAGACTGAGTGATATCATTAATTTGTTAAAAAGTGAGAGTGGATTAGTTCCTGGAATGCTCTCTATGTGTTTTGGCGATACGCTTGCAGCCACCTGGTTATGAAAGATTAGTGAGTGTTTGTGGCTAAGAGGGTTGAAAGGCTTGCTGTTGCATCATCCTGTCATTCTAGAACCTATTCCTGATCAGTCGCGAGCTTATGCAACATGCAGTGCACAGTTGTCGGCAGTCTGGTGACTACGGGCCCACCAATTTCTGGTTGCTGAGCTCGCAAGTCCTCCAACTGCCAAACTTGCCAACAGGTTGCAGACAGCACACAAAGCAGCTAGGCTTCGTGTCTAGAAGCAGTTTTGCGAAAGCAGTGTTCCATTTCTTTGCTCAGATGGCGATAGTGCATTATCTGTGTAGACTGCTATGTAAAAGCCAAATTGGATTATATCGCAATTCTCACTGACACGTTTTTAAGTTCTGCCACAGACCAACATTTGGACACAGACGAATGAATTACCTACCTTAAAATCTGTTGCACAAAATTAATTTTAATATATCGCTTAATGATTCGTGTCTGTCGCCGAATAGTTTCCCCGCGCCTTGTTGAATGTAGTTGCTGAAACGACCAATCTTTGGAAAACAATTGGTACACATATTAACTACAAAAATACTGTGATAACATCACTCTGAATTGTACTTAGCAGTATAAACGATGTAATTAATCGGCAGTTTAAACTTGCCAGACATGCATGCGAGGCCATATTTTTACCTATCTTCTGTGACTACTGTAGTTGCTTGAGTAGTAGCCGCATTTCTTATGAACAAGGCCCTTTCGTCAACTTTTCTGCAGAATACACATACAGCCAATCAAGGACACGATTCTTCATAAAAATTCTATCTGAGCAAAATAGCTTTTTGCGTGAAGACGTTATCTCTGTATGGTATATCACTGCCATTCTTCTGTCGATCGCGCTAATTCACTATCCCCATGCTCCGCAGGAAAGCAGACCCACAGGTTTTGTTCATAAACAGCCTCAGCTATTACTCGAGTCAATACGATATGAACGCTACTTTCCGCACAAAAAAAGCTGTATTCAAAACTGATATCTGCACAGTTCTATCGAGCAACAATAGTAACTCTATTTGTAGTGTTTCAGGCTCACTTGCAAATCTCTGCATCAAACGGACCTCGCCATGTCAAACGGGCAGTCGCCAACCCGATCGTGGCTGACTTTTAGTCTGGACATCATTGCAGAACGAGACAAATACAGCTGCTTCACTACTTCGAGCATCCAAACCACTCTCCATCTGACTTTACACGACAAAATGCTAACATATTGTGATTACTATTGCAACATTGCAACATAAGCAGACTAGCATGAGTGAAGCGGTATCCTTCAAGATGGTATCAGGGGCTAGTTGCCTTTCCATGCGATAAACGCCACTCTTTTAATTACAGGGTCTATTCTGCACTGACTCAAAAGAGTCATTTTCTGGGTTAAGTGACGGTGAATAGGTACTAGTGTCCCCCCATCATTTATAATGTGAAAATAAATGTGCTTTCTCTGATTCTGTTCACCCTGCCTTCAAAGCTCCCTTTTGACCGCCATCTTGGTTTTTACCGATTGGAACGGACAAGCGCCCATGCAGGGACGCCGGAAGAGGGGGGGCAGGGGGGGCCAGAGCCCCCCCAAGTATTCTTATGGGGGGGCTCAGCCCCCTTGCCCTCATAAGAATAGTTCGGGGATATAACGGCAGCCAGGCGCTCGTCACGAAGGCATCACGTGCGTCCATGTTAGGTGCAAGCCACGGAGCAGCAAGGCACAGTCTTGTCGCACGTAGAGATTTTAGACAAGAACAATTAGTTCCGGGAGCGCGCTTTTTTTTTTTTTTTTAATCCAATGTCCGTCGTCCATCAGCACGGCGGCTACGAGGGTTTAGAGCAAGCTGGACCCGATCTGCCCGTGGCAAGGCCGGGGAGTGGCGCGCGGGGGCCAACTGGGGCTTAGTATGGGGGCCTCTAGAGCCCGGGGATTATAGTTTTGTTGGTGTTGCTGTTGTCGTAGTGTGGGGGATAGAGTGCCTTCATGTGCGCTTCGCATAGAGTGATGCCAACTGCCTGTTTCCCTTTCCCACACCCTCTTCCACCGCCATTTTGTTTCTCTCATTGTTTCCCCGTGCGCCGGAAAGTGGCCTTTGTGTCCATCGGTAATCCTATCCGAGGGGGAAAATGCTAATCTTCCCTCCGTGGGTTCCACAACGCTGCTCCGAACTTCTGAGATAAGGTGCTTGTTTCCGGGAGGGTTATAAGCGCCACGGATTATCACCGAGGAACAAAATAGCTGCTGGTTTGTCGGCGAGTGGTATTACAAAGGGTGGCATCACCCTAGCAAAGCGCACATAAAGGCTCCCTAGTGGGGGATACCGCGACGAGACATGTGTGGCGCCAGATTGTCGCCTCGGACCGGACGCTTTCTGCAGTGTTGCCAGATGGAGAAAAAAAAAAAAAGTCAGCAGATTGATCCCCAAAAAGTCAGTATATTTGCACAAAAATCAGTAGATTCCACGAAATATGTGTTTTGCCATGTTTTGCTATCTCCATTAATACACATTTCGAAGAAATAGTATAGAGTAACAAATAACATGGTAATAAACACAAATAAAAATGAAAAAAAAACAAGACCAGTTCTCGAGTAACTTTATATGAAGGACAAATGAAAATGGCTCCATAAATGTTTTTGTTTTAGTCATTATTGACTCTTTCGAGGATTATTCTTTGAAATCGAGACTGAGGCACTTTTGGGATCACAGATGAAAGCGACAGTGCGACGTTCACCTGTCGCTATTATTGAAACGAAACCGAAAGAAGACGCTCCGGCCAGTGCGCGCGAACATGTCCAATGGAAGTCCTCTGCATGCTGCCATCTTTCCTTACTGGGCTGTGGAAGGTTTTTGAAGCAACGCTGTTGGTCCGGAGCACTGTTGAGGCTACGCGTCGTCTGCTACGGGCTTATTTCTTTTTCGCCTGACCCAAAGTTTACGTTCAAACGTGGAGAAACTTCATTCGTTAGCTTTTTAAGCCACCGAGGAATAGGATTATATCATTTTCTTGCCACAGCCTGCGAAATAAAAGAAAATAACTGAAATTTGGATGTCGATCCCATGCATTCCGCCGAACGAATGCATGAAAATTGCGGCTCTCTCCGCTCAACTCGAAGCTATTCTAGTAGATTGTATAGGAGCAGCCGAGAGTTCAGGCGCATGCGCAAACACCTCTCGCTCTGCGCCGCGGGCTGATTGGCTCACTCGGGAGGGGGACGTTACGGCAAGATCATAGGCTAGCCAAACGCTCTCCATATATGGCTCTGGCCCGGATGTCACCGTCGAACCTGCCCAACCTGCCGAACCTGCTCTGGGTGAATAGATAGATGAATATACGGCTACGTCACTCGAATAGGACGGGCTTCTGGGCCATCTAGCCAGTGCTTCGTTTTTAATTCTGGGACATTATGAGTTTCCTTTGATGGGCGACACTGGGAACTGAAGGGGCCATATAATAAATTTTTAATATGTTTACTAAAAAAAAGTCAGTAGATTTTCTTGTTTTTCAGTGAATCAGTAGACCCGGAACGAAATCAGTAGATCTACTGATAAATCAGTAGACCTGGCAACACTGGCTTTCTGTCATATTTGACGAGCTTTGACGGTTGTTTTCGTTTAGGAAGGTCTCAAGATGTCCTTGCCGGCGACTGGTCCGGTCGAGAGCACGTGATGATCTTCAGGTTTGAAATTATTGGCTCTTCCTTCGAGAGCGAGGGAAAGTTAGAGTTGTGATGCGAAAAGCGAGAAATGAAATTAGCGGAGTTCGTCTTAGACTCGGAACCAGAGAGGTGGTCGTCCAAGTTGAATGCGTTTAGATAAACGTTGAAGTTTACGAGAAGCAGCGAGTCAGAGCACCATTCAACAACGTGCCCGCCACCAAGCTCAAGATCATCGGGGCTGATCCTACCCTCCCAACGACATCGGGAGGGTCCAACCCGTCAGAGGCGTATGCAGTCAGCGTCAGTCAGTGTCTCTTCGACTCCAGCATTACATACAATGTCTGGCCATCCAAAGAAGATCACCAGCTTCTTCCTTTCAGCCCCAAAGCGTACATGCTTAGGAAGCGGAGATTCTCAAGGTAAGATATTCCGCAGTTCTTCTTAGCTCATCATGAGTAATGTACAGTTCCTTCTTGATGATATACAGTATTTAGCAATTAGGAGCACTGCGTAAGAAAATTGTTTTCTCATGCAGAAAATAGAAACCGCACAGGACCTAGTGAAAGGAACAAAAACGGACCCGCTAGGATAGTGTTTTCTCTCAAACGAAACTCAGATCGTAATATTTAAATTCTTTTTAGTAAAAAAAAAAAAAAAAAATAGTACATCATACAAAAAACGACAAAAAGGAACAAGGCTTTAGCCCCCCCACTCACGATATACTTCCGGCGTCCCTGCGCCCATGTCTAGATTAATTCAGTTTTCGGTGAAAGTGGGGTGGGCACTTCCCCGGTATATTTAAACAAATTTATACGTGGATGAAAAGGTAAAATACTGAGGTGGTGGTACCTTCTTCAGGAAGATGCATTTGAAAAAGTTTAAGTACACATTCTAGAAGCTTCGGAGATAAATGCACAAAAAAATGTCACAGAGGCATAGACACAAACATACGTGGCCTCGAGTCTATACGGCGAGAAACTGACAGGGAGAAAGAGGAGGTGGAAGCGCGTGCAGATGCCAGAGCGCCAAGCTCCAACTAGAATGTTCAGTGGGTAGACGCAAAGCCTTTGTCTTTATTCACTGTTCAAACGCGTTTGAACGCCAGATGCTGGTGCCGTCTAAACTGGAGATGGGTTCTTAAACTGGGTTCTCGGGAAACCAAGTGATCCCCACAGTGCCCGCCAAGGTTCCCTGGGCAGCCAGATTCTCTGGACCGTTCCTATCTCAAGTAAAGTGCTTTCCCAGTTCAAGCACTATTTCTCCATGTCGGAGTCATGCATTGGCATAAGCCTATGAGCTGAAGACACCCTCCTGCATGCATTATTGTTAACAAAGTCTGTCAACCCCTGCACAGGTCAAATGTAACAACGCCCAAAAGGGAAAGGGTGCCTAGGCCGTCATTCGAGGCAGATAGGCGTTCCTCAAAATAAAGGAGTTTGAGAACTCCTGGTCGGGAATGAGCACTGAAACTGCCTAGACGAGGAGCTTCACTGGCGTAGCTGACTGCAGACACAGAATGCCAGTACACATGAGAGAGGGGTGTCGAGCTGCCTGCACAGAGTTCGTATAACAATCTAGAGGAAAACTCCCACACATTTCAACCACCTCTGAATGGCGGGGCACAGATGCAGACGTCAGTGGCCCTGATGGGATTGTATTGCTGGCGATGCTCCAACATACACAAACAAGCAGGAAAGCATCACTCGCACGCACTGTGTCCAGTGCTTTTAGCTTTATTTTGTAAAAACACACCGGCATCGTGCATTGTACGAAAATAAACAAAGTTGACAAGCACTGGAACAGATTCAACTTGTGGCGGCAAAACCAGCATGCTTAACCTATTGTTTGCTGTCTTTCTCCACCTTTCTGTCGCTCTTTTTCTCATTCTTTCTCTCGGGATTACCGACGTCAGCGCTTACGACCTGCCGAGTTCTGCTCCCGCCTTTAGCCCCCCAGCTGCACGTGCCCACCTCCTTAGTCCTGGCCGGGTCGATGCCAAGGCTGTGCATGAGGCGCAGCACCTGGTCGTTAAGGTCTCCCTTGCGGGCGGCCTGACGGTCCTGGGGCGGGGTGGCCAGACTGCGGGGCAGCCCCGGCTGCAGCCACCGGTGCCGCTTCACCTGCTCCACCGTCAGCCGCTTGCTGGGCTCCAGCACCAGCATCTTGCGGATCAGGTGCTCACAATCTGTGCAAACGGCAGCACCGTCGAGATGATGTATGAGAGGTGGCACATTTAGCAATGAATGCGGCATTTGACCTTCTGTAGCAGGCAAAATATTGGTTTGGAGCAGCCACTGATGCTTTTTGAGCAGATGCCAGCATCTGTTAGCACACTGCTCGAAAATGAAAAAGTAATTGCATCGCTAAATGAGTTTATCTATGACAATAATTGAGGGTTCTTCTTTGATACTGGAGCACATTACCTATACCTAAAGCCCTGCGTATTCGCAGATTACCCACGGATCATCTGCGGATGTCCGCAGTCAATTGTCGGATGCGGGTAAATATGAATCAGATTTGGCGGATTGCCGATCAGTTGCGGATGCTAGGGGGCTACAGGTGCAGGATCGGAGGCGGATATCCGCGGGTCCGGACCTACATTTTCACCAAGTTGGCCCGTAAACATGTGCGATTGCAGAGCGTAGAGTGAATAAAGGAATGATGCTATGAGTGCATCATCAAATGCTTTGCGGAAACAAATTACTCTCGCAGAAAAAAGGTGAAAATCGGGGAGAAAATTGTTTTTAATGCCAAAAAAGATATAATCCTCACCAAAGATCGCTTTAGATCGTACTATATCTCGCCTAAAATGCTGCCCCTAGAAAATGTAAAGAGTGCAAGGAAACCAATCCTCCCAGGAAAGCATGTTCTTGGTTGGAAGGAAAAGACTAGCAAAAATTCTTCGGGCAAAGAAAACCAAGAACATACAGTAGGCTTGCAATAGTTAGAACTCGGATATTTCATACCTCTCGTTAATTCAAACAAATTTCAAAATTTTGGTTTTCCCGCTATGCTTTTAATGTATTCATAAGTTGCTCAATTCGAGCAATGTTTTCGAGTAACTCACACTTTTTGTTCTCGCGACCCCTTTGAGTGCGCTTCTTTCCGAGCACTGGTGCACTGCAGAGAAGCAACACCCACATAGCTTGCTTCTGCGGATGTTGCTTCTCCACGGTGCACCGGTGCTTGGTAAGAAGTGCACTCAACGGGGCTTAAAGGGACACTGAGAGGGTAGTTATGCTCGCCAAGGTTTTTATTTGTATACATGACATACGAGAGCCCAAATACCCAGAACACAATTTGCGGCTTCGAATACGTTTTCTCTTTGTCCGAAAACTGCCAATGAAGAACTGGCCGGTTTGAGTTGTGCACACTCTCTTCTACGTGGTCAAATGCCGTTTTTTATGGTTTAAACACAACCACCAAACATAATCAACGTTGTGGGTTATTGAAGGCAGACACTCAATATTAAAAATAGAAATAAAATATGATACCAATTTTTTGTGGCTTCTAAAATCCGCAAATATGTTTCCAGTACAGTTCCAGTTTCGAGCAGTTGCGTTTTTTTACTTTATTGAAAATATATGGGACGCTGTACAAAAATATTTTTTGGGTAGTATTTTGACACCATAATGAACCGCCTGGCAAAAAATGAAACAAACTTTTTGGGGGGATGTCAGTGTGGGACACTGACACCCCCCAAGGGCACACGGGTCATGAAAATGGGCACCATGCGAAAATTTCCATAGCAACTTGTGCGAATGCTGTTATGTGCCAATATGGCATCAACCACGTCACAGTGTCCATGCAAGTTGCCATGAAAACTGCCGTACGGTGCCAGTTTTCATCTCTCATGTGTCCCCTGTTCACATTAGACAACTTCTTGGCGTGATGAACAAACTTAATTTTGTTTTAACTTGTCCTGTGCTGTCTAAACAGCCCACAATAAACAACATTTTTGAGGGATAATTAAAGTTATGTCATACATTTCACCTGCGGCAGATTCAGATGGGGGGGTCGGGATGTCCTGACCCCCCTTGAATTCTGCATGTGCAAAAATTTAGGGAGTGCAAATAGGGGGTGTTCTTAAACATATGATACGCTGACCAACACCTGACCCCCCCCTCAGGAAATACCTGTGCCCACCCCTGCATTTCACAAATGTTTCATGTGTGTGTGGCATACCTACTTATGATCAGTAGGCCTATGTAGAGGAAATTATCAAATATCCACTCTGTATCCGTAGCCATTCATATCGCAAATCATGATTTTATTTTGCATACTATTTAGATAAATTCTGATAATTGAAACAAAATCTGTGGCTCCCTGGAGCTTGAATTCATGAGAATCTACTGTACAAGCCGCAAGAAAGTAAGCCTGTCTCCTCGACAAATGAAATGTGGCGTGGGCGTGCATATTTTTTCTCGACAGTTGGCAAGTAGCAGCTAATGCAGTTGAGGGTTCATGTTTAAAACTGAAACCAATAAGAGGTATTGCATTATTGAATATTGAGATATTTTCTTAGCGGTGTACAGATGTGTTACCACGCATATACCGTATTTACTCGAGTAATAGCCACACTGTTTATGAAGAAAACCTGAGCGTTCGCTTTTCCGAGAAGCATGCGGCTTCCTAATCATTGCGATCGGCAGCATGATTCCAGCGGTTTACAGGACAGAGACACATCTTCGTGCGAAGATACCATCTGTGAAGAGTGCATCTGTATGGAGAATCGTGTTCTCAATTTAGTTATTCGCTATCTTATTTATGCACAATGCGATGATTGGCTGTATATGTGTTCTGCGGGTAAGCAGACATAAGGGCCTTGTTCATAAATAGTGTGGCTATTTCTCGAGTAAATACAGTATGAGTACTTCGCTGTGGTGAGCAACAGCCTTTCCACTCACCTTTTTTTTTTTTGACCTAAATAAAATGACATAATATGATTATTCAATCGTTTATAAGTTTTCGTGGTTTGAAATTATGTGTCTACTTAAAACAAATGTTACAAAACAAAAAAAAAAATCAATTTTTTTTTATTGGATTGCATCTTCTGGTTGAGTGTCGAAAACTCCCAGGATGATCTCATAACTGCGATCACCTTTCCAGAGACACAAAGTGCCTCTAGAATCATGTTTACTTACAAATTTGGGGTCCTTTGTTTTCGGGTAAATCCCAATATTTCTTGACATTTACACACCGAACGTGTCCTGTGAAAATCGAGTTAAACTCGATTTCTACCCAAGTTTAGAAAATGAATTCCCCCAGTTCTCAAATTACTTTGCTCTAAAAATATTTTGTGCATAACAGAAAGTTGGTAGGAACACATAAGCTAGCTTTAGACCCTACAATCCTAGATCCTGTTGACTTCACTGAACTGAAGCGATAGATTAAGACCCAAACTGTCCTTTTTATGTCCATTGCGAATTACCCTTTGCCCTTCTCCTTAACCATTTTTAATGAAAAAAAAAAAAAAAATCAAGAACGTTTACAAATTCTTGTAATGTGAAGCTAAAGCGCAGCTCTTGAGGAGAAGGGGGGAAGGTACGGAAGGGGGGGTATGCCCCTCCTCCTTCTCTGTGTCTTCCTCCTTCTCCTCCTCCCATTAAATTTCCACACTAAATTTCCCTCTAAATTTTGCGAAAATTTCCCCGCTAAATTTAGCGGGTTAAGTTTCCCAATTGACGTCATGTGACCTTAACACCAATTCAATTTCCCCGCTAAATTTAGCGGGGAAAATGATGTCACATGACTTCGTGTCACATCACCCATGAACAAATTTAGTTTCTTTGCTAGATTTAGCGGGAAAATTGACGTCATGTGACCTCAACACCAATCCAATTTCCCGCTAAATTTAGCGGGGCAGTTACGCCGACGGTGACACCACTCAGGTCACGCGCCTAAGAGCTGTGCTTTAAAAAAAAAGCATTGTAGAGAAGCTGCAATGTTGAGAGAATGTTTTCTCAATTCAGATATGTCCAAGAACTGGACAGGTCTAGAGATGGGGATAAAGATGCCACTCATGCAGATTATTAAATTTAAGACAGGACGCTTTATAAAAAAATCTAACAGATCAAGTTCTGTTAGACGCCGTCTTGTGTACTTTAATGACTCAATTGCAAAAAAATATTCAGCTTACTTAAACTTATTATAGTACTCTTTATTGTTAATTATGCCAATTTATTTCTAAATATGAACTGAAAAACACGAATTTCAAAATAATTTCTTGAAAAACCTGACTTCTCCCCGATTACCACCTTGGAACAAAGGGCCCCCAATGTTTACCACTAATTTAAAAAAAATAAAATAAAACTTAAACATTAAAAACCCTCCTTATGAAATAAAATCAATAAAAGAAAATACTAAAATCAAATGGCTTTCACCGTATTACGACTCAAAATATTCTTTGTACAAAGATAAGCAGACAGCTTACAAGGTACCATCAAGGCACTTTTTTCTTCAATGAAACTTAATTTCAGATGCGGTCTTGAATTTTGTGGATGCGGTTCGGATGCAGATACAAGGTATGCGGATGCGGACTGGGTGCGGATACAATAATTTAAGACCATTGTGGAAACGGCTCACGTGCAGATACAAAGTTTGCGGATGCGGATGATCAAACTGTTATCCGCGCAGGGCTTTATCTATAGACCTATTTCACAGCGGCGGCGCCATCCTGAAATATCGTCACTTCCAGTATGGTTGAAACATTGTTTTGCCGGGGAGGCACTCACTTGATCGAATGACGTTTTAGCGAACACCCACGTTTCATCGAACGACACTTTAGCGAATAGTCGGACGCCGCGAAGCGGCGTTTTCGGGTGGGCCAAGTGAGTTCACATTTTTGTAATGAGTTGCCGCAGACTGTCGCCGCGAAGCGGCGTAAAGCGTAGCGCGACGGATGGGTTAACGCGCGCCCCCGTTATTCGCTAAAACGACCATTCGCTCAAATGTCGCCGTTCGCTAAAATGTCATTCGCTCTTGTGATATGGACCCGTTTTGCCGTCGCCATGCAAATAGAATACGTTAGGGTATAAGCGTAACCGTTGACCCATTTTAATTTTGTTACTCCTTTATTTTTTGACTATTTGCAAGTTGAAACATTCTATAATTTTATCGTCGCCCATACCAAATTTGCATACCAGGTGGCTGGGGACGAGAGTACTCGAAAAAGGTCTAGCTTTTGTAATAAGAATAAATAGGGTGCAAAGGAAACACAGAGCCTTCTTTTCAGAAGCAAGGCTCTGGTCAGAGCAGGTTCCATTTACGATGGGTATTCAAAAAGTGGTTGAAAAATTAATCATAGCACAACACTTTAGTTGGGACAACGCTTTTTTCTTCTCCCCCTTTTACGCTCGGAATTTTATTTAGCCCATTTTATTCAGGCTGCAAAAACCAGCATATCCACCAATACAACTATCAATAAAAATGTGTCCCCTTTTTAAAATATTTTTTGCTTTCTTTAAGCCTACCTCGGCGCAGGTGTGGCAGACATTCGTTCAGACATTCGTTCATGCTGCAATTTGGCACAAATGGCGCAGCACTTCCATCACTGCACGTGCATTCTGCAAACCTTGCAGCTTTCCCCAAAGGGAAAGCTGCAAGGATATTTTAATGGAACAAAATTTTATGATGTACTATACCCCCATTCATGCATTGAGTTATCTGTCCCCGTGCCATCCCAAATGTTAGGTGGTGTTTTAATCTTCTTGTAGTTCTCCACAGTCAGAGGGGATCATTATGGCCAACACTCCGTGTACACACCATGAACACACTTCCACCAACAGCACTGCCGGACTGGAAAACTAGCCACTCAAATCGGCACCGGTCATCATCATTTAGTGAGGTAAACCGCACAAGTTGGGCTACTAAGGCAGTTCTACAACATTTTTTATGTCGTGACCTCAGATTTTCTTCTCATTAAACCTCCTTCCATACTACATGGTGGCTTCACGGGAAGCCTTTTTACTTCTGGGAAGCCACATCCCGCCACGTAGATAAATAGCGTCTGTCACTTTCCCCATTAGTTTGCATGCAGATGCTTAGTTATCGGCGTCATTCTTGGTGTTGGTGAATTGACAAGCATGGCAAGTAGCTCTGTCGACTACAGGACCTACTAAGTGCGACCGGGGGCACGTTTGTGGCCGCAAAAACTGATCATTACTCCCCTTTTCCTTTCGGAGTCACTCCAGCAGCATTTATTAATGCGGCCATTGATGGGTCGACTTCTCAACTGCTCGCTCGTTTTAGGCCCGAATAAAAACTGGCTTGCATGAAAATCACCGGCGGATGCCCTCTTCCGTTCCTGACTACACTGGCTGGTGCAGTCAATCACGATGCAAAAAAACTCGAGTGAGCTTGAAACACTGCCTCCGCACATAAACAGATGTAGGGCGAAAGTTGATCGACACGACATCCAGCAAAATTTCGAGCCGGAAGAGGTATGTCGCACAAGATCAATCTATACTTTGCCCCCCAACAGTAGTCCCATCTTTTTGTGTGCCAGCTCACCAGTAGACATGAAGAACGGGATCCTAAAGCGGCCGGAGAGCACTCGACTCCTCAGCACCTGCAGGTTGCAGCCGTCGAAGGGAAGGGCTCCGCACACCAGCACGTACAGCACCACCCCGAGGCTCTGCAACATAGATTAGAGGAAGTCACTATAAGCAGCCGATCTGCGCAATCGTCCGCGAATATCCTCACTTCGTGGCTAAGTCTAGGCTTCACTTTTTCATCGTCTAACACTGGCCACACGAGAATGGTGCTTCAAGCTGTACAAGTTTTTCCTCGGTTCAGTTCAGTTGTCTTCAGAAGTTTCTGTAAAAACTACAGTACAACCATTTCTCTCTTTTTCTTTTTGTTGATGATTTTTGATTTGTCTGGGATATCAGTAGGATAGCAAGCAACCTATATTGGTTTCAATAGCCAGCTGAATTATGAAACCTTATTAGTTTACTGCTAATGGCAACTGTTTAATTTATAATATTATTGGTATCATTTACGAGATATATCAATTTATACAGATACCTCATTGGAAGCAAAAGAAACACAGCTGCAGATTACCTCTTAAAGCGCTGAACAAGCTTTCCACACGAGAGACTGCACATTTTAGACAGCAGCCAGAATGGCAGCTCGCAAATCTTTGCAGCAAAAATCACTAATTTGGGGAAAAGTAGGGGAACCTTGTTGATTCATGCCACATTTATGTAGGACTTAAAGGTGTACAGAAACGAAATTCCAGAGCTCATTTTTTAGCTTTAATGCGTTGCACTTTGCAGCATAACCTCAAAGTTACCAGTCTTTTGTTGAAAGGCACAAGAAAACTAATTTTAAAACTAATTAAATAATCTTTCAATGTGCACCTGGTGGATGCATGTGGAGCCTATTTGGGACGTAATCTAGCAATGTTGGGGAACTTGCTACGTAGTCATGACGTAGCAAGTTCCACCGGCAAAGCACAGCTCTTTGGAATTCAACATTTTCCTTCATAGCTTTCCTCAACTCATAAATCGCGCATTGTATCAAACCCTCGTTTGTGCACCTGGAAACAGCCATTCTCCCCCTAGAAGATTAGCCCGTCGCTCAAAATTTGGACAAAAGTTGCTTTCCTCACCCTGTTCACTCCTAAGCTGACAGTGCTGTGGAAGCTATGTGCTCTTTGAACCAGCCTTACGCTCGCCACCCCACGGGTACTTCGAACGGCTCGGTTGTAACGTGTTGACGCTATTGACACCACCACAATGCTGACAACGCCACCAGGGCAAAGCTCATAACCACGCCAGCCTTGCTACGTCACAAATGCGGGGAATCTTTTTTTTTTTTTCTGTTTTTGTTTGCGCCGGATATCCCATTACACATCGTGCTCTCCCCGTTCGCTTCTCTTCGAGCGCTTGCTCGAGTGCACCGTTTGGAACGAAAAATATAGCCAGTTGTTCAAAATACAAACAGGCAATTATCATTTATGGGTATTATCCGTCCTGCTTGACTCATTTCGGAACAAAATTTGAATATTTCAATTTTTGTTTCCGTACCCCTTTAAAAGCACAAAAAACACAAACGAAGAAGAGACACATAAAAACAAAATTGGGGAGCGTGTATGTTTATACAGCCTAGAACTTAGCCTGCCTCAACAGGCGATTTGTCTCCTAGCTGTAGATAAGAAATTTAGACAGTGCAGTATAACCGCTAGCCTGGTGTCTTCAATGTGCACCCCGCAGTAGTAATTCACAACTGCATGCCGGTACGAGGCTCATCCAGATTGAGACGGTCAGGGGTGGGGATTTAAGGGGGGACACTGGCTAGAGGTCGAACTTCTTAACTACTCAAGTGATTGGAATGAAATTTAGAGAGGAGATTTAACCTCAGATGTAGGTGTACTGTGCAAACTTTCAGCTCTCCAGGACAACTTTACATACCTGTATAAGAAAATGTGTCACTCTTTGTTAAGAAATCTATCATATGCAAATGAAGCTATTAAGCACCATTTTGACTGCTAGAATATAAAGTGGGGGATGTGGCACTTTGGGCTATCTAGTTTTTATAACTCAAATGTAAATATTTCAGGAAGAGTGATTACCTCAAAATATGAGATGCAAATCTGTCCTATGTCAATTTTTGAAAACTTGGCTTTTTATCACTGAGGACTTTAACTTAAAACAAAATAAAGTAGATAGCCCGATTCCCCAGTAAATTTCAGTTCAGAAACATCTTGATTGTGGTATCTGAACACTTTCACCTTCGAACAAAAGATTCCTTCGTATGAAATTTGCAGCAAAAAGTGGAACTGAGAAAAATGCATTCAAACATTGAACTCCTTTACTTTGTTACTGCCTCACAACTGTTGAAAATATTTTATATCATCGTAAATATTTGGCGTATGGTTATCAAATTTGGTGTAAGGGTGTATAATTAGTTTCTAAAACTGAAAACGTCAAAATTAAAAAATTAATTTTTAAAAAAAAAATAAAAACTTTAGGCCCATGTCCCCCTTTAACCCAATATCCCTGGGTTCTGCAGTGCAAGCTTTCACTCTAAGTGCTCCGAGCTGGTGAGTGCTAGCCCAGAGACACATCCAACATGGACTAATGCGTTTTTTGCACCTTTAAGTCCTCCAGAATATAATAAACCAATTAGCCCAATCAAAAGTTTTATTTCAGGTTTATGCGTTTTCTCGGTTGTTACTTTTACAAACGCTGGTCCTGGAGAACCCTCATAAAAATATGTGCATATTAACTTTTCGTCTGCAGCATTTGCCATCCTGCTTTGTTATGCCCAAGAAACCCGATGCGGCCGACCCAGTACATTAGGCCGCTGGGTCACAGCTGTTCCCTCTTCCTCTTACAACATTTTCCTTTCTCCGAGCTCTTTTAGGGTGTGACCTTAAACTAGGCTCGAAAGAGATTCACAATTTTCAGACACCCCGTTCACATTTTTTCATAGTCCATCCAAAAACCCTGTTCATCTGTTTATAATCCCAACGTATATGCACTTGCATTGCGCTCGCTTCCACTTGAGTTCAGAGTTCACGTCCACTGCCAATAACAACATTGCAGAAAAGAAAGGCTCTTATTTTACAGCGACAGCTGTTACAGGCTCGTTCCACCACTGGAAATGATGTCCATTGTCGTCGTAGTTATAGTTGTAATAGTTGTTGATGCTCTAGTTGGCGTAATAGGGTGTATGGCATCCATCACAATATTGCCAAACTCTCGAAAAAAGACTGCCTGCTGCCCTCTGGAATCGAACCTGGGTCCGTGCAAAGCGGGCGCGTTACCACAGAGCTATGGCACAGTATCCGCGATCCACTTTATTATATGGTTTTTGCAGAACAAACGTGAGTGTGAGTCTCGAATAGTGTCCACTCATGGGTACTGCGACATCGCAACAGAAAATTCTTCATAATTTTTAAAGAATTCCAAATTCAATCGGAGTCAATTGTTGACATTACAGGCGTCAGCTAGGTGATGCAAGCCGCCAGAAATTTTAAAAGGTTCAACAACCGTATATGTCTATCCAGGGCCTGTGCATTACATCATTGTCAGTGCATTCCTTAGCAGCCCCAAGTGGCAGTCATGCCAAAGCTCGACAAGGGTACGGCGCAAAGCGGCAGATGCAGGTGTCTTGGCATCACTGCACGCTGGCGTCGCACTTGTTGCGAGATGACGAAAGACGCGCTGGCGGCTTCGCGGATGTGTCTCGCCGTTTGTCGCAGAGAGAACCGTGAAGTGCATGCACATGATAACGAAGCCAATTGAGCCGACTTCGCTGTGACATGTCACAGATGTCGCTGTGACTGTGGATTAACACAGGACTGCTCATTTCTTTTAAGGAAAAGATCATACAAACATATATTCCATAGCATCTCTGTCATCGTAGCCAAAACTTGCTTGTGATCTACGCTGGCCGTGTCGTCGCCTGAAGTGCCAGATTACGACACCAACATTGTTGCGACGTTGTGAGCAAACAGCTATAAGGCTGCAAGGAGACCTTTTGCAAAATCTGTTGGATGATGACTGCTCTGGTAAGAAAGAGCCATCCTACTCTCGATTAAATTACGTGGCTATCGTGTTAACAATGTGCTTCTACACCATGCCACTTGCGATGCACGACTGGCGTAAAACTTTAGAGCTCTGCACGCATTAAACTTCACCGCTTTGCATTGGTGTGCGCATTAGGCTTCACCACTTTACACCAGAGTGCTAGGAGCAGTGGCTAATGTGGGGGAGCAACTGAGTTAGTTCGATGGCCTCGCCAAATTTTGCTCACTCTTATAGACCCTTTCTTCAAGGGCGCCGCCATCTTGAATTGTCGTCACTTCCAGCATGGCGACGGCAAAACATTGTTTTGCCGTCGCCATGCCAGTAGAAGACACTTAGGATTTAAGCGTAACCGTCACACATTATCGTTTTGCCTCCCCCTTATTTTTTTTTACTAGTTACAGGTTGGAACGTTTTTGTTTTCTCTCATTGCCCATGCCGGATACGCCTATTAAGTGGCTGGGGACGCGAGTATACAGAAAAGGTCTATAGGCCGACAACCTTTAGTTGCGATTATAGGTCGACCCCTAAATTTAAGGGACAGTGCTAGAAAAAATATTTCAACCTATAAGTCAGGGGTGACCAGACGAACATATCCAAAAAGCCACAAAGAAGAACCCTCTCAAGTGAAGAGCCGCAGTTAAAAGGGGATGTGGCAGCATTTTTTATCACTTTCGTCTCAGTGGGTGGCCATAGCGAATTCCACTCACAAAGCGATTATTTATTATGTTTCTTTACCGTGTTTGGGAAAAAAGAATCACCTTGAAGTTCGGCTCAATGGCATCGGTTTAGTTATGAGTAAGTCAGTTATGACGGTCCCGTGCAGCTATGACAAAGAACGAGAGGCATATCACTTCCTGAACCGCAAAGCAAATGTGCATGTTAGGAGGGAGGGGGGAGAGGGGAGGGGGCATGTTTATTAGGGCGCAGCAAGCCACACTTGGACTTGCGAAGAGCCGCAAGTGGCTCGCGAGCCAAAGTTTAGCCACCCCTGCTATAGATGAACGAATATGATAGCTTTACAAAGCCATAGAAGTCCATGTGAAATAAATTGTAACAACTGATAACCCTAAGAGGGTTATCAGTTGTTATGTTATCTTGGATCATAAGCTTCTCTACCACAGTCCCCTAAACTACCGTATATCAACATGGTTCTACTACTCATTCTTAATAACTAGAGTATTTATTCCTTTTAAATATTGTTACTGAAAGCCAATGGGTAATAAAAATCTACTAATTTTTCTGTTTGCACTTGCACCTGTTTCAGTACAAGAAAAAAAATGTTCACACATATACATTTTCCCATCTCCCTGTTTATAGCTCCTATTCAGGTTGATACTTCAAAGAACATTGTAAAAAGCCTCTGTGTATGCAGCAGAACATCGTTGTTACATTCTCGGTTGATACGTTTTCCCAGCTCTTACGTTCAAAAACGCCGGTCCCGTTTTACTTCCATAGAAATACATGTGTTAGTTTCCTGCCTGTTACGTTTGCTTTTCCGGTTGTTACGTCCAGAAGTGTCGGTATTGCGGCCCCTCGGCGCGCCGGGCGCTAGGCTGCCACGCTGACTTTGAAGCGAAGCTAGCGGAGCAAAGCCGAACCACGCAGTGCGGGTCGCACGGCACACGTTGGCACGCAGTTGCCCGTCTTCCCTTTACTCCTTTTCCCCTCTCATCCGTCTCTCTGTCTCCTCGCTGGGCTTTGCTGAGCTCTGCCACAGCTTACCTTCTTGCCCAAGTGTGACCTTGGCGCACCGCTTGGACAGAGAGCGAGGCTGGCAAGGCAGCAAACGCTCGTTCTCTCTTGCTCTCTCTTTCATCTGTCCTTCTCTTTCTCTGGCACGAGGAGCACCCGCATGCACTCTGCGCTTCTAGTTTCTGTTCCACTTGATTGCGTGAACTGTGGTGCTTCGGAGTATGTGCGCTTTGCGCCCATTGATGACGGTCATGGCATCGCGAAAAAGGAAGGTACTCTCTTTTAAAGAGAAGTTTGATATACTTCAGACGTTGGATCACAATCCCAGCCGAAAGAGATCTGACGTCGCAAGAGTCCTTGGACCCGCTCCGTCAACTTTGACCAGCATCGTCGCCAAACAAAAGAGACTGAGGCAAAAGCTCCTTTTTATCAACCATCCTTCAAACAGGCTCACGGGGCAAAATACACAAAGTTAGAGTGCCTGAGTCCTCAATAGTTCTTTAAGTACACATAAAATAAACCATTGTACATATAAGAGCTGCTTTATATCCCATGTAGAGCCCCCCTAAGTGCGGTATCGGTTGCTACGTCTTCCCAGATGATACTATTTTTTCCGTGGTCCCCTGAAAAACGTATCAACGAGGTTCAATTGTAATAAATAATTGACGTATATAATGAAAGTCTCCAAGTTATGTGAGTCCTGTATGGGTGGGTACAGGGTTATAAGTATTCTAGTGAATGTCACTTTGAGATAGGGACGTGTATGCTGTTATTTTGCACAATTGCTTATTTTCTTGTTCCTCTGTTTCTTGCTTGTATGAAGAAAACGCTTCAGATATCATATCAATATATCTGCTCTCACGGCTAGTTGGGCGTTACGCCTCAAACCAGAACTTTTCAAATAACACTTCCGGGACGAACCCTCCTCTGTAATTTTTTGGGGCTAAATTTTGGCCGTCCTTAGGTCCGCATCAGCATTATAATAAGCATGCCAAACGGACGGTGGTGCTCAGTCTCATGTATACATTGTTAATCCAAAAATCACTTTATTTGAAAAAAATGTATGGTAAATACAAATGTAACATTATATTAAAACAAACGGGGAAAAACAGAAATGCTCATAATGCTCTTCATCAGGAGCATTCCCAGTGAGCTACTCACCCAGACATCGATTTCAGGACCGATGTAGCACTTTCCCTCGAACACCTCAGGAGCAGCGTAAGGTGGACTGCCGCACCATGTTGTCAAGTAGTCATCAGGAGAGAAGAAATTGCTAAATCCAAAATCTGGCAAGAGAGACCCAAGCAACGTCAGATTCCGAAGTTTCTGTCGGAACGACATATATCAGAGGAGAAAGGGAGAGAGAGAGAGAGTGCAAATGGTTCTCACCAGCAAGCTTAATGTTCATGTTGCAATCCAGCAATAAGTTTTCAGCCTGGAAATAAACAAAACAATGTGCAACTGCAGTTCTAAACGGCCCCACTCTTGCGGAACAACAGGCAGTAAAGGAAACACAGTGCAAAACTTACAACTATACACTTTGCAATGTGGAACCGTACCATAGAAAAGTGTATTCAGGTACAATTGCGGCCAATATAAGCTGAAACGCTAGGACGCTTGGTGTGCGGTATCTTACCAGTGCCACCTGTGGCAATGCTCCAAACACTAACATGTGCTGAGGCCGAGATAAACCCTCTTAGGCGCTCCCTCTGTCGTATTTCACTCTTAAGCCATCTGTTACCGAAATGCGTGCACGGCCGCAAAGGCGGTGTGACGGGGCTACAGCTTGTGATACCCCTTAGCGCCTGATTCCTATTGCGTGGGTTAAGCACCAACTGGTTGAGAAAAAAGGCTGGAGCTGGGGACATGCATCAGGGGAAAACTTTTTTTATTTACAATAACTAAATGAAATATGCACAGTTTATAGTGCTTGATTTCCTCTTTATAAATGTTAAATTTCATATAGCTCGTTTTCTTATTTATGTTCTGGATTCAATGTACATGCAGAAAAACACCATTGCTCCCAAAAAAATGGCACAAATCTGTTCAAAGGTTCCCTCGATAGCGAAAAACCTTAAAAAAAGACAAGTACCAGAAATGCCACAGCCACCCTTATCTGTCGTGTTCAATTGGCATGGTGTACAAAATCCCACTAACATGTGGTACAAGCTACACGATCCAAACTGAACTGTGACTGAACAATCGCCTCCTCGAGCATGATCATTCACTAAAATCTACGGTGGACGGTCATCTTCCCGTTCATTGCAAATCCTGCTCGTGTACTCCGATTCTTAAAGGCACAACAATAATTGGACATTATCGAGACAAGAGGACTCGCGAAATCTTGGAAGCACACTGCATCAACAGCTTGGGGGACTGCTGCATTAGCCGCCCATCAGTGACACAGCTTCAAACCGAAACCTTGTTTTTAGATCGGACTATGGACAACACATTGTAGTTAAATGTGTTGTGTCGCGTGTGACACGCACTGCGTGCCCTGCTTGTCTTTCGGAACATCCTCTTCTTCCTTTTGTGTATAAATTCAGTTGCGAGTCAGTGCTTGTGCATCTCACGTTTCCTTTCTCCGTCCTCGTATTTTTGTGCGCTGTTCTGTTCACCATGTCATCATACCAAATCACCCAAATTACAACACTTCTGTAGTCTGTAGCAGCGATTTGATGGATGGCTCCCATTGGCTGGCGCGCGTCATAGTTTCAGAGAACGCCACCCCATCGTGCTGCCGGCCCCGCGCCGGTAAAAGGAACGCTTCTGCTCCTCTTGACGCCGACGAACATGGCAGCGTTTTAAGCATCTACATCGTCCAAGGCCACAATCTCGGCAGTAGCGAAACCCGCCCGTCCACACAAGTACTCCAAAGACGAACTAAGGAAGCGGAATGACGCACCATAAGCGAGGAGGTAGGCAGCAAAATCCACCATTATTGTCAAGTCTCTGAATACATGGCAGCAACGCAACGCGCTAGGAGACAGAACAATGCCTTTTGAAAGCGTAGGCGCAAGCGGATCGCGATTCAAAGCGCCTCTCTCAGGCGGCAAGAGGACGAGGCCCTTCGACAATGCGAGGCGGAAGCAATACGTCGCAGGCAGAATGATTTTCCGTTCACAACTCATAAGAAGTGCTTAGTGTCCTCAGACTTTTTTTTTTTATTAATATAGCCAAGAAGTTTAAGACCAGCATTACTATTTTATCAAAATCAATCGGCCACTAACTTTACTGGACATGGGCTGTTCACCTTTGCGAAATATCCATCAGTGATTAATCAACTATAGCCAGGCACTAGAAATAATAAACTTCCAGTGGTCAGCAATACTGACCACTAAAAAGCCCTTAAAAACGCCAATGAATCTTACAAATCAACGATTTGAGGTACTAAGCAAGTACAACCACACAGATTACCCACTGTGCTGGCCCTCCATCCTAAATAATTTTGGAATGTGACAATGTGTCAGTTTTAACAACTTGTAAGAAGTATTGCTCAAGGTAGATGGTTCCTCCGAGAAATGTAGAAATATACTGGCCTCAAGATGAAGCTTGCACTGGTGGCTCAGGTGCCTGTCGAAATTTAATCAACCTTGGCCTTGATTTCAACCTCGCACAGATTGTCTCTTTTCCCACTAGTGTGACCAGCACCTGTTCACACATACTGGACCTAGTTCTGACTGGCCATCCCGAAAATGTCACCTCCCTTTCTGGATTTGTAGGTGTGGGAGACCACAAAGCGGTTTATTATGACATAGCATTTCAAGAGCCACAACCTATCAAACAAGCTAAAAATATTGGGTTAGACAACAAAGGAAATTACGAGCGACTAAACATGGACCTATCTAACATATTTTCAGTCTGCTTGTAAAAGTTTGAAAATAGAAATGTAAATGAAAACCAATGTCCTTTTAAGAACAAATTATTAGAATTTGTTGAAATTTATATTCCGAGCATTAAATTTAAGCTCCCAAACAGCTAATCTCTGGTATATTCACAGTGACTAAAAACTCTTAGTAATAATAAAAAAAACACACTGTTTTCAAGTGGCCCTAAGCAAAACACTGCTGAACATTAGAATACATACAACAAATGAGCTGCTGAACTATGCTCGAGCAGCAGAAACATGTTTTCTATCAGGAAACTCCATCATTCATGCTAATAACTAACCCGAGTCATTTTTGGAATATTTTTAATCATGCACCACACTCTTCACTAACACTTATTGATGATTCTGAAAGCATAATAGACAAAAGCGAGTGTGCCATAATTTTGAAGGAATTGTTAACCTTATTAAATCTCTCAAGATGTCTTAATCCTGTAGCATCGACAACATCAACTCGAAAATATTGCAGCATGCTCTATGTTCATCGAGCCTTTTCTCAACAAAAATAATTCAGCAACCACTACATACGGCGGCCTGTAGCATCGACAACATCAACTCGAAAATATTGCAGCATGCTCTATGTTCATCGAGCCTTTTCTCAACAAAAATATTTCAGCAACCACTACATACGGCGGCCTGTAGCATCGACAACATCAACTCGAAATAACTGCAACATACTCTATGTTCATCGAGCCTTTTCTCAACAAAAATATTTCAGCAACCACTACATACGGCGGCCTGTAACATCGACAACATCAACTCGAAATAATTGCAACGTACTCTATGTTCATCGAGCCTTTTCTCAACAAAAATATTTCAGCAACCACCACATACGGCGGCCTGTAACATCGACAACATCAACTCGAAATAATTGCAACATGCTCTATGTTCATCGAGCCTTTCCTCAACAAAAATATTTCAGCAACCACTACATACGGCGGTCTGTAGCATCGACAACATCAACTCGAAATAATTGCAGCATACTCTATGTTCATCGAGCCTTTTCTCAACAAAAATACTTCAGCAACCACTACATACGGCGGCCTGTAGCATCGACAACACCAACTCGAAAATACTGCAGCATACTCTATGTTCATCGAGCCTTTTCTCAACAAAAATATTTCAGCAACCACTACATACGGCGGTCTGTAGCATCGACAACACCAACTCGAAAATATTGCAGCATACTCTATGTTCATCGAGCCTTTTCTCAACAAAAATATTTCAGCAACCACTACATACGGCGGCCGGTAACATCGACAACATGAACTCAAAATAATTGCGGCATGTTCTATGTTCATCATGCCTTTTCTCAACAAAAATATTTCAGCAACCACTACATACGGCGGCCTGTAGCATCGAAAACATCAACTCGAAAATATTGCAGCATACTCTATGTTCATCGAGCCTTTTCTCAACAAAAATATTTCAGCAACCACTACATACAGCGGCCTGTACCATCGACAACATCAACTCGAAAATATTGCAGCATGCTCTATGTTCATCGAGCCTTTCTCAACAAAAATATTTCAGCAACCACTACATACGGCGGCCTGTAGCATCGACAACATCAACTCGAAATAATTGCAGCATACTCTATGTTCATCGAGCCTTTTCTCAACAAAAATATTTCAGCAACCACTACATACGGCGGCCTGTAGCATCGACAACATCAACTCGAAAATATTGCAGCATGCTCTATGTTCATCGAGCCTTTTCTCAACAAAAATATTTCAGCAACCAGTACATACGGCGGCCTGTAGCATCGACCACATCAACTCGAAATAATTGCAGCAGGCTCTATGTTCATCGAGCCTTTTCTCAACAAAAAATATTTCAGCAACTACATACGGCGGCCTGTAGCATCGACAACATCAACTCGAAAATATTGCAGCAGGCTTTATGTTCATTGAGCCTTTTCTCAACAAAAATATTTCAGCAACCACTACATACGGCGGCCTGTAGCATCGACAACATCAACTCGAAATAATTGCAGCATACTCTATGTTCATCAAGCCTTTCCTCAACAAAAATATTTCAGCAACCACCACATACGGCGGCCTGTAACATCGACAACATCAACTCGAAATAATTGCAACATACTCTATGTTCATCGAGCCTTTTCTCAACAAAAATATTTCAGCAACCACTACATACGGCGGTCTGTAGCATCGACAACATCAACTCGAAATAATTGCAGCATACTCTATGTTCATCGAGCCTTTTCTCAACAAAAATATTTCAGCAACCACTACATACGGCGGCCTGTAGCATCGACAACATCAACTCGAAAATACTGCAGCATACTCTATGTTCATCGAGCCTTTTCTCAACAAAAATATTTCAGCAACCACTACATACGGCGGTCTGTAGCATCGACAACATCAACTCTAAAATATTGCAGCATGCTCTATGTTCATCGAGCCTTTTCTCAACAAAAATATTTCAGCAACCACTACATACAGCGGCCTGTACCATCGACAACATCAACTCGAAAATATTGCAGCATGCTCTATGTTCATCGAGCCTTTCTCAACAAAAATATTTCA